TCGTTGTCGTCGTTGTTGTTGTTGCTGTAATGTTGATAATGAAGATGCGGGTGGAAAATTCTGAGCTTCCGGGGAATGCTCTCGACTCGGACCCTCCCAACGAGCCTTTGCCAACGCCAAAGCCTCCGAGGCCTGTCAAAAGATCGCGGGTTTAGGCTTTTTTTTGTAGGGTTTAGGGGCATTTAGAGGGCATAACAGTGTAACACCCTTTGATTAAGGACTCCGCTCTGAGTCCCAGACCCTGGCCCTAGATGAAACCGGACAGCGTCTCTCTCCTTTTGGGTTACGACTCCAAACACCGGCTTCAAGCTTTCAGGGATTTTTGGGGGGCTTCGGGGATTTGGGGGCTTTCGGAAGCCTTGCTCATCCCTTGTCCAAACTCCGCCCTCGTGGGCCTTGCTCTTGTAGAGCAGCCGCTGCTGATAGCTCACCCTCGGGGGCCAAGAAGATTCAACAAGGGTGCTGAAGTCTGCACGTCTGTGTTGAGGTTTCGCTAACAGAACTGAACATAGGCCCCGAACATCTGCGCTTTCGGCGCATCGTAGCCGATGAGGAAGTCTGACCTGGGGCCGTGATTGGAGGTTGCGCCTTTCTCTTGACACGCTTGGAGGTTTACGGTGATCAAGCCTAACACTAAACGCCTGAACCACCCAATCCTAAATCCCCGAGCCCCGAACCTAAAAAGCTGCTAAACCCCAAACCCTCAGCCCTAAACGTAAAGCTCCGATGCTTTGAGGCAACGGCTCCCTCGCCTCAAGGGCTCTGTGTTGTTTAGGACTTTCAGAGTTGATTAGAGCCTAATTTTAATTTTTGACAGCTTCAGGGCTTCAGGGTCAGGCCTCATGGTTTCAAAGGTTCAGCGCTTAGGACGTAGGCCTGGAGCGTTCGGTTTTTCATTGCTCGAGGACTTCGAGTTTAAGGGTTAGGCCAGGCTCAGGGCCAGGCTCTAGGATATTGGGTTACACGGCTACAGCTTCAGGGCTTCACTGTTTGCCAAGCTCCCTCTGAGGTGCAGGCGTTGTCGGAGTCTCGGGGAACATCGCCTGCACGTCACAAGCGTGTCCGAGGACTTGGGAACTGGTGAGCTGAAGCTAGCCCTCCACAAACCTTACACTTGAGAAACCCGGCAACCCTCCCACACAAGCCCGGATTAAAAGCTTGATGAAATCCTATAAACTCCAACAGCTCTTCCCGGAATGTTTTAAAGCCTCCCGTAAAACCTTTCGACACCTGTAAGATCTATCAAACCCTACAAAGCCCAAAAGACAGAGTGCCTTGGCGTCCGCCATGATGGACTCAGCAGACATGAGCGCAGCATCCGCCATGTTTGGCCTCACGGAATGGGGTTGCTTTGAAGGTTCGTGAAAAGTTTTGAACCCTGGTCGAAACAGAGCCCTGAATAATTAGAATAAAACTGTGGTGCTATATCATGTTCCATTATGGTCTAACTATATACACGGACTATCAGGGGAATACTCGTCCTTCATTCGATCCGACGGGTTGATTAAGCTTGAGCGGTTTAGGTTTTCGCCTGTTTTGGGGCGGGGGTTGGGACTCGGGTTTGCGACAGAACTTCGGATGGGGACCACGTTGGGGTGTCATTCTGGATTTTGTCTTACGATATCCTACTGTCAAAAGATCAACTCTGCTTCCATGCCGGTTTCTGCAAAACCAACCGAACCCAACCCCAGAAGTGCAGCAGAGCACAGCACTTGAGAGACGTGAAAACCTAGCAGTGCAGGAACTCCGCCGTGACCCGATGTCCCAACATCTTCAATGCCACCGAACCCCTTTGCAAGAACCCTGCGACACCCCAAAGCCGGCACCTCACGCCCGCACAGAAGGCGGGAGGGGGCGGCGCAAAATCCTTTGACTGCCGCGGCGGCTGCAGCGTGTGGCTTACTGCGAGTTGCCCTTAGGTTGGGAATCAAGCTGCTGGTGCCACTGCAAATCGCCTGCACCGCATGTGCAACGCCTACGGAACTCACATTCCGTTCTTCAACCGGGCGCGACAAAGCGAACTGCTGACACATATGATTCCTTGTCCCTAGTAAACGAGTGACATCGACACGAGCAATGCTCCCTTCCTTGCCGAAGACCGTGAGAATCTCACAAAAACTTCTGTTTAGGGTCCCTGGGTTTGCTGAACTGCAAAACCCGACAACACACACAAGCTTGGCAACCTTTCGGCAGGAGCGCTCTTCACTCAATGTGACGGGGCATGCACTGGGGTGAGGAGGGGTTCGCATTCTCCGTGACATGCAGGCAGCAGGAGGCGTTCATGCAGCTGCTTCTTGCGATGACCGGCTCCTCAAAGAAAGCATCGGTTGGAGCCTCCTGCTGGAAAAACTAAGTCTTTTTGACTGGTGTGAAACATGCGGCGAGGGCCGTATGCCAGATAGACCTGCTCGAAAACCCTATAGACGGGTATATCGAAACCGGAGAGAGGACTCCTTTTCAACTTGTGAAACTTCGCAGCGTTTTCTGTGATCGCTGGAGCACGTCCTGGGCAAGCAGAACCTGCAGCGGGTGTCAATCGCCGTGCAGCTGCATGGAGCTGCCGTGCCCACAGGATTCCGGTCTATGGTGTTTGGCTGTGTTTAGTATGACATAGACATGTTCCAGTAGGATAGGCTGTATACGCATGTAGTAGCATACAATGTACTAGAATATAAGCTATGAAACTATGTAGTACAATACAGTATACACTAGTATAATGCAAAATAGGTAATGAAATACGGTATGATAGAAACATAATACAACATCATATAACATAGCAAAAACATCCACTGTAGTAGAATATGATATGATATAGTGCAATATAGCGTGATATGATATGATATGATATGATATGAGATGTAATGAGATGTAATGTCATGGAATCGAACCCAGCCTCATATCATATACTATAGTATAACATAATAATATTGTAGCGTTGAAGTGAATAGGAAAATACAACAACAGCGTAGAGATAACAACAACATAACTACAATAAGATGACAGATCGTGATGAAATATGATATACAACTGATACAACATAATAGAATATAATATGATATAATTTGACATAAAGTAACGTAATAATATGTCATACACAATCTAATTCAACATACCTCAGTATGATGATATGTTCTGAGAAGTATGTGAGTTCTAGGGTCTAGGGGACAGCAGCAGATGTGTCTGCTGTGCAATGTTCTGAATGTTCAGAAGCTACAAACGATGCATGATCCACACCTCCCTCTGCAAAGAACCTACGGCCCTGAACCCTCAGCCCCATACACGAAAAAATCTTAAAGCCCGAACCCCATACCCCCAATACCTAAACTTTAATCGCTATAGGCGCTATACCCCCGAACACCCATCTCAATGAGAGCTAGCTCCAAGTGCTGCAGACGGAACCCCGGGAGCGCGCCTTGCCCTGCTCCTTCTTCTTGCGCCAACGCGCGACACAGGTTTCGAAGGATTCCTTAAGACGGCAAAAGGCGAGGGACCCACAGCTGGGATGCAGATGCTATGCTACCACTAGCATTCCTTGGGTTTTTTTCAAAATGTTTTTGTTTTGGTTTGGGGTTTAGGGTTTAGCATTTAGGGCTACAGTCTAGGAGGGTTTAGGGGAAGTTAGGGTGTAGAGTTTAGGGCTTAGGGATGTTAGTTTTGTAATGGTGTTCTTCCGTTTGGTTCCACTCGGTTCGGGTTTACGGATACTATCTTACAGGGAGTACTGATTACGCTTAGGGCTCCCTATTGGGATCCTAATGTGACAGAGCCTCAAACCTCTAGGCCCTGGTCTACTCATTGAGTCGGCCGATATCGGGCGGAGAGATCGCAAGCAGAAGACCTTGTAGCAGTGTTCCTTCATCACGAATGGCATGGGGGTCGAAAGAAGTCGCCATCATCCTCTAGTCCCTGCACCAGGAGAGGTTTTCGGAATGATCACCATCCTCCGTAGGCGATCCGGAACCCCAAAAGCCTAAACCCAAAAGCCTAAACCCTAAAGCCGAAACACTACACCCCAAAGCCCCAATCTCCAAGCCCCAAAACCCCAAAACCCCAAATCCTGAACTCTAACCCGAACCCCCAGGCCCGAAGCCCTAAACCATAAGAGCGCCCAGGCCTTGAAGATGCCACCCAGGTCTACACCCAACAGGTAGAGCGCCTCGGGCCGTAAGCATGGATGTTATAGTGGTAGCATTAGCAGCAGGAGAAAGGAGTGGCAGTAGTAAGAATGGGAGAAGGAGAAAGGAGTAGCAGCAGCAGCAGCAGGAGCAGTAGTAGCAGTAGCAGTGGCAGCCAAGATCTCACTCTCATAGCACAGCTGCGCCATCCCACAGAACTGCTCTCCACTTCTGAGAAACCCATTGTGGGAGCCGGGCGTAGGCGGCATTCCAGCGCTGGCACTCAGAGCTCTGTGCCAGTACCCTTGACACCTCCCAGGTATGGTAGGCTTGGGGTTGAAGCGTTCGAAAACCAAATCGCTTGAAACCTCAACCGTGACAGAGTTTAGATTTGGGGCTTTGATTTAGAGCTGAGGGTTTAGAGCTACGAAACCCTGCGAATGTGCGGAATCTGGCGAGTCTAGAAACTGGGCTGACCCCCTCATGATCAGCAACTCTCAACCCTAATTCCTAAATCCCAATTTCTGAAAAGCAGAAAGAGACCCTAAATCCCGAGCCCGAAACCGTAGCTAACCCCTAAACCTTGAGACCCTCCTGCATGAGCCTCAAAGCTGTTTCAAGGCCTACGAGAGGGGTCTTCAAAAGCTGCAAAGAAACTGCAACAAAAGGCCCGAAACAAGTCAGGTGCTGAACGGCTCATGCAGGTCACCGCTCCCCTCTCAGCGCATGCTTCTTTTGGGTAAGGGGGTAAGGTAAGCCAGCTATGGCGCTTCAGTCCCACCCCCAAAAAAGCCACACTTCTGGGTATTTTCTGTAGGTCGCTGTCTCTCTCTCGCTCTCTCTCGCTCTCCCTCTCTCTCTCTCTCTCTCTCGCTCGCTCTCGCTCTCTCTCTCTCTCTCTCTCTCTCTCTTTCTTATTCACTCATCCAAACCTTAATCCCCTAACCCTAGGCGCTAGACCCCATACTCAACCCTAAATACTATAACCCCAAACCCTATACCCTAAACCCCTAAGCCCTGACCCAAACCGCCGACGAGGGAGATGAGCCTCTGCAGCAGCTGACGTCTTCGGCTCGGCACCTGCACCGCAAAGCGTGAACTCGGCTTCAAACCGGCGAAGGGCGAAGGGTTCCTGTAAGGGTGCCCTAACGGGCTACTTTAAGGGCTCTATAATACAGAGGGGACTGAGTAAAATACTCCAAAACCCCGTTTATAACCAACTATCAAGGCACCTGCATTACTGCAGCGATCACGAAAGCATCGGCTCTTCGGCATCCCATCAACCTCCCATCCTCCCTCCAGAATCCAGCCTGGCGACAGGAGCGCCTCGTCCCAACCTGCTCGTGGCAATGCGAGCATTCGGCCATGACAGGAGCACAGAGTGGCTTGAGACATCTTCGACCTAAACCCCATGTTCAGCCACGCGTGTTCCGGCACTGGACATGCCTTCTGTTGGCTTCAACCCCTCAAGGCCCTGAACCCCTAACCGTGCTCCAACATGCAGTCCGCACGAGCAGGTGCCCTGCTCCCACCGGCCTAGCGCCAGATCCTTCCCAGACTCCTGCAAAGGGGTCGCCACAAGGGTAGCTTGGAGAGCACAATAAGGGGTACCATAAGGGGCTTCTATAAAGGTTTCGATAGAGTTGACGGTCGCTAAGGGTGTATAGAACGCTTCTAGAAGTCGCAGGCTCTGCGACTCAAGAAGGATGGCTCATAAAACTCAGAAAACCCTATACGATACTAGAGTTATACAGCTACACACGGACTAGGAGGAGAGATATCATGGGTAAGTATCCTGGTGCCTGTGCTATGCCTTCATTCAGGCAAAAGGCCTGGGACAGCCTGCCCTCAAAGAAAGCCCCGGAAAGCCCCCGTTTTTGTGCCATGTTTTGGGGGGTCTTGGAGGGATTCCTCCAGAGCCTCAAAACTGCCTCCGAAACCGCTCCTCCAGCGTGGCCGGCGCGGATTTCGCCTGAAACTCCCAGGAAAGATGCGGGGTTGCTTTCGGGCATCCGAGCTCCGGGTTTCGGGTTTTGTTTGGGTTGCTGTAAGGACTCTGTACGGCTCTCGCCCCTCGACATTACTGCGCAAAGGGCTCTGAGGGTTTCGGGTCGCAAGGAAGGACGACAGCACTCGGCGGCGAGAGCTGCCTGGCAGCGTGAGCTCCACGAGCCCAAGCCTTGAAAGCAGCCACCACACATCCTCCAAAACTCCCGAAAGGCTTCAAAACCCTGAAACTTTAACAACTGAAAACACAGAGCTACAGCCCTGAGTCCCCGATAACCTTGAAAAAAAGAATGAAAACCGAACCTCTGACCACGTCCTCAACACCACCGAAAGAGACTCTTAACCTAAAAATCCTACAACCACCCAGAAACTATAAAAAAAATATGAAATCAGCCTTCAGATCTAAAACACTACAAGAATCTTGTAAAGCAATCAAAGGCCCAAAGCCTTGAAATCACCTAGGAGACCCTAAACCCTAAACCCCTAAACCTCTAAACCCTAAACGACCCCTAAACCCCTAAACCCCTGAACCCTAAACCCCTAAACCAGAGACCCAAAGGAAGGTCCTGAGCCGGCCCGGGCCTTGGGATCGGGCGGCAGCGTGAGGTTCAACTCAAGCAAGGCACCTGGGCACTTACACTTACAGGGCTTTTTGGGGCTATAGGGCTTGGGGCTTAGGGCTTTTTGGGGCTTAGGGGTTTAGGGTTTAGGGTTTATTTTTTAAACGTGAAGTGGGTTTAGGGTTTCGGGGTTTAGGGGTTTAGGGTTTAGGGCTTTTTGGGGCTTAGGAGTTTGGGGTTTAGGGCTTTCTGGGGCTTAGGGGTTTGGGGTTTGGGGTTTAGCGGTTCAGGGTTTGGGGTTTAGGGGTTTAGGGTTTCGGGGTTTAGGGTTTAGGGTTTAGGGTTTAGGGTTTGGGGTTTAGGGTTTAGGGCTTTTTGGGGCTTAGGGGTTTGGGGTTTAGGGCTTAGGGGTTTGGGGGGTATTGTAGAACTTACACAAGGGTCTGCACCCCTTCTTTTAAGGGGCCTCCCCTCTTGCCCCTCTGAAACACGCCGGTGCCGGGGGCCACCCACAGGCTCCTGCTGAGGCCCGGGCCGATATAGTTCGAGACCAGCTGCTCCTACAAAAGGGGGGGGGGCCTTACTTTAAAAGCGGGGGGTACCACTGCCTTGCTTAAAAGGGGGGTGTATGGTCTTGCATAGAGAGGGTGTATATGGGATTTACAGTGAAGCGAGGGTTATGGGTTTATGGCGTTTTGGTATGGGGCCTTACCAATTAGAAAAGGGTTTGGGGGGTATAGTGTCGCAGAGTTATGCAAGCATGGTAACGGAAGAGTAGGACAGATTAGTCGAATGTCTACATCACCGGTGTGGGCCTGTGGGGCTTTAGGGCTTTGGGTGTTGAAGCTTTAGGGGTTTAGGGGCTTCCAAAGGTTCAGGGCTTTATGCTTTCGGGTTTAGACCTTTAGGTCTTCGGGTTTTGAGACTTCAGGATCTTAGCAGCCGGTGCAGCTATGAGCCCGAAAGCCTCAGGAACCCCCAGAACTTCGGCGAATGGGCCGAGAACCGAATCCCGAAGCCAGTGTCTCCTCTTCCTCTCTGCTGATCCGCAGCCCCGGCGGGAGACCTGAAATCTCTTGAGATCTCTAAGGAGTAGTAGTAGGAGTAGTAGGACGAGATGGACGACGAGTGCAGGAGAGGCAGCCGCACCTGAATGCACCAGTCTTCGCACTGAGTCAGCACTAGCAGCTTCAACGTCTTTGTTGGCATTGGCCATTGTCCTAGCATTCTCTCCGTGCCAATAACAGTAGTGGTGCCAGTACGAGTATTACTAGCACTGGCACTGACTTCTTGACATGAGTTCTGGCATCAGTACTTTGCTTTGGTAGCGGCATTCGTCTTATCATCAGGGATTAGCCGTATTCGGTCTAGCACCAGCATTACCTCACAGTTTGTGTTATGACTGCTAGCCGAAACTGCAAGTCTCGTTGGCGGTTAGATTGCGAGTGGTTCGTTGTTGCTGCTAACTCTGGCTACTCGTCTTGTTCTAGCTTCCTCTGTCTCATTTCATACCCCCGAGCAAAACATTGGAAAAATCCAACTCCGAGGAAGCCCACTGCCAGAAAAATCTGGAAGACCGCTTTGGCTCTAGCCTTCAATTTTCAGGTTTAACGACTTCGGCATGCAGGTGGCATTGGGGTTTTAGCACTTTAGGGGTTTGGGGCTGTAGAGTCTTCGGCTGCGTTCTTGAAACGCCCGTGCGAACCAGGCAGAAGCAGGACCCCGGCGCGGTCGGGTCTTGGGCACCGGGAGAGCGTGGATGGCGCGTGCCTGGTGCGGCAGAGAAGGGAAGCTAAACTCTTAACCGATGAGGGGACTAAGCGCTGAACCCGGAACCCCAAACCCTGAACCGATGAGGGGACTCTTTCCTAGGCGAAGTGGGAGCAGCTCACGGACAAGTCCTCAGAGATGGGTTCGAGGAAAAAGGGTATAAGTATGGAGCCCTAAAGAATAATTTATAAGGAACCCCAAGAGACCAAGAGACAATGCATAAGGAACCCTAAAGATGAGGTTATACTACCATCACACAGGCTCTCAAATGAGGCTCGCACTGCGTCGTCGAGCAGCTGGAAAGGGCTGGAAGCCATCTCCGCCTCAGGCGGGAACCAACCGTGAAGCTTCGAGCCGTGAGCCCTTCATCCTGAAAACTAAACCCTGAACCCTAAGCCCTGAAACCTAAACCCCACATTTTTGAACGCTTCCAGCCTGTCAAGCCTAAAACGCCAAGGGCCTGAAAAGCCTGAGTTTCCCCCACTCGACTCGGCTCTGAGCGGGCCCCTTTTTCTTCACGTGCCGCGACGCAGATCGAAGTCTTTCGAAGCAGGGCGGCTGGGGCTTGGGAAACCTGCTTCCTGCAAGGGATACGATAAGGGATCCTTCCGGGGGAGACATATGAGGGCATTATGAGGGTTCCTGTAAGCACTCTTTCAAGCTACTTTCAGGGCTTCAAGAAGGGTGCTATGAGGATACTGTATGGAGTCCCACAAGGATACTTTGATGATGCTACAGAGTTGTTTGGGGTTCGGGGCTTTCAGGGTCTGGGGTTTAGGTTTTCCTTTCAGGATCTAGGGCTTAGGGTTTTAAAGTGTGTAGGTAAGTAAAAAAGTGTGTGTGTGTGTGTGTAAGTGTGTGTGTAAGTGTGTGTATAAGTGTGTGTGTGTGTGTGTGTAAGTGTGTGTGTGTGTGTGTAAGTGTGTGTGTGTGTGTAAGTGTGTGTGTGTGCACGCGTGCCTATGGACATCGTTTTTCTCTTGCTTCCTAGTGCCCAGAAGAGCCCTGAGCGATGCATGCACCATTCCCTTG